ACACCGTCCAGCTTCCGCAAGGTCGTCTGGCAAACCTTTGCAGTGCAAGATGATTATTGAGCTCATGACCCATGTCAGGATCGCTGCATGATTTGGATCTGAACAAGTGCACACTTCACACGGCTAAGTCTCACACAAGATTCAAGATGTGAGCAGAACAGCTTAGGAACCCAATCTCAAAACTCCAAGACTAAACCCTAAACCCTAAAATTGGGATTTTTCTTGTGGGAGAGATTTTAAACGGGCAGCGGATAATGTAATTTTTGTTTGCAAATGTTACATCCCATGTACAAATAGGTCTGCTAGCCCTAACTAAAAAAATAAAGAATGGGAAATCAAATGGGAGGTAAAATATGAGGAGTAGAGTAGATATAGTTTTGGTAGAGTTTATGCAACAAATGTCATGGTGCAAACATGGAGGTGGATACTTTAACAAAGAAAATTTTCTTTTTATAGCAATCTTCTTGTAATTTGTATTCAAAGTTATTAGAAGTTCAAAAATAAGCTTTTAGTTTTAAAATAATAAATGCAAATTCAAATTTTTAATCATCTTAATTATATGTAAAACTAAAAAATAATAATTCCATAACCTACAAACATTAATACTATATGTATTACTTAGCTACTTTTAATATTCCAAATCATTATAGATATATATATATATATATATATATATATCAATAGCATAGAGCTTTGTTGGATTGCTAAAAGATAAAAATTGATTCGTATAGAGACATTATTGTCTCCTCAATAATTATTCCCAAAAAGCTTATAATCTCGAAAAATTTATTGAAATTTTGATAACCAACTCCAAATGGTACCTAAAAATCTATTCTTATTTGTTAGTTTGATAATTAATAACCTCTAGTAATAAAAAAATAAATTACAAAAAATGTATTTAATTAGCAAGGAGAGAATCATATATGTATATATATATATATAATATGCTTGATAAAGATATTTTATTTTGTGATTAAAAAAGAATTAGAATTATTTTTATGATAGTCTTTTGAAACAACAATACTATTCATTGGTTATTTGTTTCTAATTTATAATTTTTCTTCTAATTCTTCTTTTAAAATTTTATATAAATTTCTATCCATTGCTATAGAATCTTTGGGATAAATTAATAATACTTTGAAGAATATTTGATCAATACCATTATAAATTCTCTTAGGTTATGTCAGAAAATTCTTTTATTTAGAAAGATTTTAGATCTTACAAAATCAAATTGAAATTTCTTGAGGTTTCTATTCAATTTAAATTTGATATTTTTTAAAAAAATTACTTAGTTAACCTTTAAAATATGTTTGTTTGAAATAAAATAAAATTTATCAAATAAAAATCACTATTACTAAATTTTATCATATTTTTATTAAATTTTTATGAAATATGTTAATTTTTTAAAATACAATAAACTGGTTCTTTTCAGACATAAAAAATACTTTAGAAGATAAATAAATAAATAAATAAATAAAATAAGATTTAAAATTATACAAGCTTTTTGCAAAAATCAATCAAATTTGTAGTATAAAAACATATAAAATATTTTACCTATTCACTACGATTATAAAGAACTTAAATTTACTAATAAACTAAGCAACATAAACTAAAATGATAGAGAATTATTATTATTATTATTATTATTATTATATAGAATTAAATTAAAAAAAATACGTGTTTAAAATGCATTAGAAAATTAAAATTTAAGATATTGACACTTTTTTACATTTAAATTGAATAGAAATATATATATATTGACTTTTTTATTTTTAATTTAATTTCCACGAGTGTGAGATTTGTATTCTTGATCGCCCTCTAAACTTGGACTTTACTCGATACCATTTAAAGTGTTAAATTTAAAGATAATTTCTTTCTTTTAATTCTATATTGTATAACATTGATACTACATCTCTGATATTCTTATTTTCATAATAACTTTGTACATCCAAATCCAAGAAGTATGAAGAGAAAACTAAAGAATTGAGATGTCATTGTAATTAATATTTTTAAACATATACAAATTTTTAGAAGTAAAAATATTATTAAGGTGATATAATAATACTTATTTCATATGTATATATACACATATAAATTTATTATATATATATATATATATATATATAAACCATGATATATTTTGATTTATAATATCAATTTAATTTTTTTTAATTATATAAAATAATTAAAATTCACTACTATATATGTTTAATTTAAATGTTGATATTTTTATTCTTTAATGTTAAAAACGTCTAATATATATATATATATATATATATATATATATATATTTAAAGAACTAAAATTAACTTAGAAGTTAAGAAAGGACAAAAGAAAGAACAAATAATATGCTTTGGCAATGCACTAAATTCTCCTCCATTTATTTCTATGTCTGTAAGAATGATTTTTGTTTAAATTATGACTTCTTCAATCAAACAATACTTTTTGTATGTCTCTCTTTGTATGTATGTATATACACACACACACACATATATATATATATATATATGCATGTGTGTATGTGTGTGTGTATGTATGTGTGTTTTATTTACAAATTGAAATTTAATAATCATTATTTTTTTAAAGAGCATTGAGTTTTACAGATTATTTTAGTAAATATTGAAAAAAAATATTTTATTTGAAAATATATGTTGGTATTAAATCAAAAGATAGAGAAGAAGTAATTGCCACTATAATAAAAAAATTAAATAATAATAATATTTTTGTAGTGTATATTTATAAATTATTTCAATTATATATATATATATATATATATATATGCATAGTCAAAATTAGCTAAAAATTTAATTTTTTGTATTAATTACTTTTAGAAATACAAAAAAATAATGATTAATTATCATAAATCATATATATATATATATATATATATACACTCACATAAAACAACTACATAGTTTATTGGTTCTACACTTAGATATATATAACTATAAAAACATTGTGTGTTGAATAGTTAAAGATTATTTTAATTTTAAAAGCTTAAATTTGATTAATCTTCATCTAAAGTGGATTTTGGTAACTTATTACAAGAGATTGTATTTTTAAGTATTTTTTTTATTTTTTTTATTTTTTTATCACATTTGATAGGCCTTTTAAATCATATAACATATTTTTAAAATTTTGTGATGATATAATATCTTTCTAATATATATATATATATATATATATATATACTTATTTATATTTCATTTAGTAGTAATGATATAAATGGATTTGTGTATTTTAATAAATTTGAAAATCCTGCACATTATTTATAAATTTATAAATTAATAATATAAAAAATTCTAGTCGTCTATTTAATAAGTCATGATTTATTGGTTATTTTTAGCAATTCAGACTACAAATAAATGCTTATTGTATTCTTTTTTCTTATATTTTGTGGAGCCTTAAAATAATGTCTAAAAAAATTCTAATTTTCTAAAAAAATATTTTATAATATAAATATATAATATGGATTTGTTAAGAATAAAACATTGTACAACCAAGAATAATAATCCAATTAAATTATTCCAAAAGTTGAATTGGACAAGGTGTTTTATTATTGAAATATCTTCAAATACCGTGAATTCAATTTTTTTAATTTAATAAATTTATGAATTAGAGTTATTGTTGTATCATAGCATAGCCTTTTTTCATGTACTGTCTTGTTTTAACAAATATGAAATGAATTCTTTGTGAATATCTATATATGATACTGCTGATGTGCACATCAAACATCAATTCACTTCTTTTGATGTAAGCTGCCAATTTTGATCTGGTTTAAAAATGAATTTACAAGTAGAAATATTAAATAAATTAAAATAAAATTGAAAACATACTACAAAGTAGAATAATTATTAAACAATGAAGCTTTGAACTTTACTTTTAATTAGAAGTAAAGCAATATAATTGAGTACAAACAAACATTATTTTTGGAAAGCAATAAATATTAAAATATTAATTATTTTAAATTATTTAAGTATTACAATTTTCTCATATAATCCTATTCCCATGCAAATCCTTGAAGAATGAGCCTCATTCACCACCTCCTTTTTCCCCACCCTCCGTACAATTTAAGAAGACATAAAGGGAAAAAAAGAAAAAAGAAAACATGAGTAAAAAACATAAGATTTAGAGAATTGTTAACACTACATCTCTAATTGATATTGCTACATCCCATGTGACCACCACACAATTTAAATTGACTAAAAGTCACACTTTTACTCTTATGTTTTTAGTAGCCAAATATATAATAAAAAGATAATAATAGATTAATAATTAATAATTTAAAATAATTAAATTATTTTTTTTTTGAGGAAAAAATATATATTTAAAAAAAGAAAAACTTACAACTTGTTTTTTTAAAAAATATTCACTATTTCTGTCTCAACCATTTCCCTTGTTTGAAGCAAAGAAAGGAAAAAAATGCACAAAAAAAAGAGGCATACAATAAGTTAGTTGTCTATGAGGAGGTCACATGGGGTGTAAAAATATTAATTGGAAATGTAACGTTGAAAATGCTCTAAAATTTATCCCACACGAGAGTAAAATAAAATAAAATGAAAAGGCTTCCTAATGTAAAAAGCAAAAGGATCCCGCGAGCCAGATTCACCCAAGGGGACTGAGATCGTTACCGAAGGGCGCTCCCACACCTTTCCCGCACCTTTCCCACGCCTTTCCACGCGTTGAGAACGGCTTTTCCTTTTTCCTAACGTGGCCACCTGCATTCCAAACACAGTCACGACGGATGTGAGCCGTCGATCCGACCCACGCGACCGCTTATCGCCCGTTGCTTTATACGACCGAGGCGCCTCGTGGAAGCCAACAATTCGATGACCCGGATGTCACTGCCTAATGGCGGTGACATGACTCCCAGGCAGTGTTCCGCAGCGCCCCGGCTGGGCCTGTGTTCAGGAAACCGGTTGTAGGCAGTCGCACGACGGCACAGTCCGGTCGTCGTGGTGGTCTCCTTCGTCGGCTCTTATGAAGCCGTGCCCTCCGAAGAATGTAAACTGTTGTTCGTTCAGTGAAATAGTGCATCTCTTGTGCTGGTGGAGCATGTGGATGCTGACTGTATCACGCGTCGGCTTCGTAGGTGGTTGTGCTGCGTCGGAGCAAGTTGCAAGGCAGTGTGTGTAGTCGAACTTTGCGGAGAGGATCTTCGTGTATTTGGTTTTTGGTGAGGTATATGGTGGGATCGGCGGAGAGAAGTTGCGTGGCGTTCATCAGTGGATATTTGGTTGTAATTCTCGTGGGATATTAAGCGGTTTGGACTGGAGGTGTGGGAGCTTGTAGCGAGAGCGGCAGTGGTTTTAGTCCTACAGAAAAAGATTTTTTGTTGTTGATGGCGGCCCTTAGGGTAGAGATTTTGGCTGGCGCAGGCAGTTCGTCGCATGGTCCGTCTTTAGTGAGCAAGAGGGGATTTCTTGTGAAGAATGCGTGCGTTGGCAAGAATACTGCTGTTGTTCAGAGGAACTTGTCGAGGATCGGGAAGAGTCAAGCGGTTTCGAAGAAGACTTCTGTACGCGTCAACTGCCGTGGAAGCAATTTGCCCTCTGAAAATGATGACGCGAATGTGCCCGAGAGTGTTGAACTTTTGAATATTGTGCTGAACTCATCGGATTCTGACCTGCCAGCTGTGTCAAATGTACCGTACAAGAGTAGAAACGAGTCTACCACTCGTCCACCGAAATTTTCCACTCTTCGAAATTTTGGTGAAGGAGGAGCCGCCGTTATGAGTGGACTCGAAGGCTCCGTATTAGAGCTTCTCGCTGCGAATGTTCAGGCAACTGCTGACCTTAAGAGGTATGCATACTTTCTTCTTTCCTACCAATCTAAAACCACATGGGTATGATTCTGTGTGGAAATGTGACGTGAATGCAAAATTCGCACAGGTTAGATTTGGATACATTTTTTGAAATGCGTATCACTAACAGGTAATCGTTATGCAGATTTGAGACTCTCTCAGGTCGAATGGCTATGATGGCTTTTTTTGTTGCCATTGGAATCGAGGTTGTGACTGGAAACAGTGTATTCAAGGGAATTGATATTAAAGATTTAGGAGAATTCGCGGCTCTTTCGGGTGTAGCTACGCTCACCGCAGCTGGATTCGCCTTTGCCTGGCGAGCAAGAACTGACGTCGCTTCCACTCTCTCCAAGGGTGCCCTTAAACTTGTTGACACTGCAGTTGACAACATGATTGACGGTCTTTTCTTCGAGGAGGACGAATATAAGAAGTAGACGGAACCGTGTATGGAAGCATGAACTGTGCACCAGTTGTGAAAGTTGTACTCTTTCCAACTCATGCTTACTATCTCGGTGGTACCGTTGTATATATACTAGGAGTTCTAGGATAACGCAATTCGATACGCTTGGCTCTAATTGAGCCTTTGTACAGAACAGAACTATACTTTAAGTCATAGAACTATACTCTTGATTTCATTGCTATTGAAATTCCTTTCATGTTTTGATTAATTTTTGTTAATCAAAACATGGATTATACCATAGGATAGTGCTGCAGCTTTAGACATGTCATATGTGCCTCCATCAGATTTACAGCAAAGCAAACAAGTTTCGAATTAAGAATGGGAAAGCATATAACCTATGCAATTGTAATATACATTCTTTGTTATGAACAGTGGTTTCAGCGGTTTGACACCTATTTCAGTGATGAACGTTTTATTGTTGCGCGGCGTCTGCTTTAAAATACCTGAACTTTGCTTTGCAGAATTCGTTTACCTTATTTCATTTCCATGAATCCCTCCACATTCGTTTGTGCGTCCTCCGTCAAATAATGTATGTGATGAGGCTTTCGTAATGATTCTACTTCGGACTAATCTAGGTTTAGTTGCCTCTACAATCATTGAAACCAACATCAACCGTGACGCACAATCGAAAACAGACAAAAATTGTCTACATTAGGCACCAGTTCAGTTTGCACATCAGATTGATAGCTGAGAAGTTTCCACCATTCTTGAAGCATGTCCAGTTCATGTCGAATGTTTGACATATGGTAATGAGGCTTTGTGAGACTCTCCACTCTTTTTGCCGAAGTTCTGTAACCGACCATATTCGCTTCAAGTGCAACACTTCAATATTTTTGAACTATTTCCTGTTGCTGAAAAATAGGTATTGCCGACTTGGTCTTATGTCACCAATTCATGTGCTCATGATCTGATCTAGGTTACCATCAAACACCATTCGATCAAATCTGCTCGTGAAAATATTTTCTCAACCAAGATCAGGCCATTTTAGAGAAAGGGGCTTGCTGCCTGCACACTGATTCCTCGTTTTAAGGAGAAACGAGACTTGAATAGTTAATTGAAAATACGTAATAATAAGAACACAATGACGGTTAAATAAACGTTTTAGAAAGACATCGCAGTGCCCTCGATTATTCGGAAGTTAAATTTAACTCAGTGATAAGTAAAAAGAGTACTTCCTTCGGAAGAAGGAAAAGACGTGCTAGTTGCTTCTTGACTTAAGGTCGAATTAACAAGCAAGCCAATTCCTGCTCTTCAGGACTGCCATCAGCAAGAAGTCGTGCATCTGGGTAGCAGCTTTGTCAATGCTTTTCAATGTCACTCGCCGGTTTCTCCCCACTGTTAAGTCGGAGATGTATTGCTAACAACTCATCTATGGTGACTCAAGTGAATCATTCCGAGTTACCAAACATCCCTACTCCTGAATTTCGTCTTTTATTTTCAAGGGAAAGCAGGATAGATTCTGAGGCTATTACTTCGTTTGAAAAGGTACGTTGTTCATCCCGACCTTTTCAAAGAAATTTCGTACTTGGCCGTCTGGCTTAAGCTGAGGACCACACGAGTAGAAAGTGGCAAATGAATTGTGGTGCTGAATGCAGTTAGTAGTGGCCATGAGGAAAATATTGCATGAAGTTATTTTTCTTTTTTAATTGATCCTTAAGCAATTTTTGCATCACAACTTTTTATTGTTATTCGGTGTGGTATGATCATACTGTTAGGACATTTATCCTACGCATCATCCGCTCACTTTACTTCGTAAGTTTAGATCTTGGAAGCACGACTGAGCACTCGACGTCCGGCGTGATTCCCGAGGTAATACTCGCAAATGTCACAGTCGCGGTGTGTATATTACACCACCCTTAGTTTTTGTGTTGATTGTATTTTGCATTATGGATCATATTTAAACTACTGTTGTTTTATTATTTGTGAAACTCTCTCATGGTATCAGAGCGGGAAGGTGCTCGTCCTCTCTAGCACTTGCTACCTCGTTGGTTCTCCAGTTGCTATATGATCACTGAAGCAAGCTGCCCCGCCGCTTTGACAGATTAGTTCTACAAATCCAGTCCGAAAAATCAATGCCCTCACTTCAGGAAATCTGGAACCGCATGCATATGGAAGAAGCCAATGCCACTCTGCGGCGACCTCACGAACCAACAGAAGAGGCGCTTCTAATGCGAATTCAAAACCTTTACAGTCGCAGATTCAATTGACCGACCGCTTCACAGCAGCCCTGGCATCGACACAATAATTACCGCCAGCAACCCGGGAGTCAATCATTGAGCCCTATGATTTGCCACCACTGCGGGAAGCCGGGACACACCTCCCGGTTCTGCAGAGCTCCCGCACTGCTTCCTTATCAGCCAAGCTCTTCTCATGGAAACTCCATCACTGGAGGAGCCTTCAGTACCGGTCCTCCCCAAAACAATGTCTCACAGAAGCTTGGAGTCAAGCTCACCGAAGAATTTTCTGGTGAGCTTCAGAACCATCCTAATGACAATGTCATTCTAAAAGCCTTAGAACTCCGCACACTTAGCAATTCAAACAATGATTGGAACCTTGATTTAGGAGCTTCCAAATATTTTTTGGTGAATTACTCAGCCTTCAATCACATAGATCAGTTAGACATTGCCTTCTTTGAGTGGCATTGGCTTCTTTGAGTGTCCTCCCAGAGTGGCATTGGCTTCTTCCATATGCATTGCGACCTCAACTTTAGGAGCCTAGCCTTGATCAATTCACAAAATGTAATCATGGAAGTACTTTAATTTATTGTGCAAAATTAGAATTGTCCAATGTGTCATCAAGGGAAGCAAACCCGTCAAAATGTATCCAAGTTCTCTTCAACTAGATCTACAAACCTCTTGTCAATGGACTTTTCTATGTATCTTCAAAAATATGGTATAATTCGATAACTTATTATTGCTTGCTCATCCCAACAAAATGGAGTGTCTGAACGCAAGAATTGAATGAATAAAAAAAAGGCGATGCTCATAAAAGGAGAAATACCTCCCTTTCTTTTGACCAAGGCAACTCATACTATAGTCCACCTAGTAAATTGTACTCCAACCATGTCAAACTCCGACAGGACACCACACAAGCTTCTTATTGGTAACAAATCAAACCTCAACAATATAAAAATCTTTCGATGCCTATATTTTATGGAGAGAGACATCACACAGAGAACCAAGCTTGAATCACAATCCACAAATGGTATTTATTTGGACCCAGATGACCTTTAGAAAGCATATCGTATTTATCTTCTTGCTTATAAGAAGTTTCAAGTCACAAGAGACGTCATTTTTGACAAAACCTCTTTTTTTGAAGATTACAGCAATGAAGAAACCAGCACAAGTCGATTATTCAATTCAAACTTAATCTACAATCCGACCAACAACAATTCCTGAGATGATGATAATACTTCAATGCCAACTACTTTTGACGACGCTAACAAAATAACAAGTTTATCTACTACAAAACTCAACAAAAGCATTTCAGAGCCTCCAATCAATTTTACCTCACAAAGATTGCTTCACATGACCAACAATGCTCCGCTCTCTACGAATACAAAACAGACAAGTTTGATTCTAAATCCAGCCACATCATTACTTCTTATAAAAAATAAGCACATATTGCCTTCTCACCACCAGTTTGAAAATCCCACCACATGAAGTTCTTAATCAGGCAGAATTTTATCAAGTAGTTGAGTGGCCTACCTTAGAGGCCACCAACGATCTCTCTTTTCATGCAGCAACAATTGATTTCCTTAGCAAAGTGATCCATCAGCATCGTGATTCATAGAGGAGTCAATCTTGATGTACTTCAAAGCACCCAAATTGGCTCCAGGACTATTTTTGCAATCTCTTGGATCTGCCTATTGAACCAAACTCTTATCAAGAAGCAACTCAAGACCGTGGTTGGAAGAAATCTGATCTATTTATGCAAATAAAATATCATCTCTCACTCTTTTTCCATATGGCCATCGAGCAATATCCACTAAGTAGGTGTTTAAAGCAAAATACAAAGTTAATGAAATTTTCTAAAAAAATAAATCTAGATTAATCATTTGTGGATTTGAACAAAAAGAAGGCTTGGATAAATACTAAGGTGGAATTTACATTGAAAGAGAATTTAGGAATTGTAAAGAAAGAATTTCATGATGTTATTATTGACAATATTAAAAAAAAAAAATTAATGGTTGAAGCTAGAATGAATCATGCTATTAATGCAAGGATATATAAGAATGAAGAAGAGGTTGATAATTGTTATAAGCAATCAATAAGTGAAAAGAATGGTTATAATCAACAATTATATTTTGAGTATTATAGGAATAAGGAAATAGAAGCTTTCAGTCATTATATTCTAAAGTATTGGACAAGAACAACTGCAAAAGTATTGTTGAATATAGAAGATATAGAAGAACCAATTATTATTTTAGTTAATGATGGTTTTGAAATAAATCTTATTTCTAATGATCTTTATAAGGAGCAAAGATGACCAATTGATATAAAGCATAGATAGGCAATACAAGTAGCTAATAATATACGATGTGAATTATATAGAGCTTATCTTGATGTTAAAATTTGGATAGAGATATTGCAACAGAATAACATTTCTTTATTTAAGATACAACGTCTTATCCGATGATTTTAGGACAACCATATATTAAGGCAATATGGATGGAAACAAAAGTACTTGATAATGGTTTAGTCTATGTATGGATATATAGTGAAGATAGAAAAAAAATAGTATAATTTCTAAATGTGCTTCTTAATCATGAATAGAATCATGATAGATTGAAGAAAAAGCCATTGTGAAGAGTTGTTAAAGAATTTAAGGATTTTAGTCAAACATATTCTAATATATGACATTGAAATGGTTTATATCCTACATATTTTTTGGCTATTCCTTTTACTTGGATTATTGATTTGATTGCTATACCAATCCAAATATGAAAAATGAGATATTTGATTTTGGCAAGTAAAAATATTTAAATAAAGACACACAAAAATAAATATAAAAATCTTATTGAAGACATAAATCTTTTAAGATAAGAAGATAAAGTTGATTTAGATAGCAAAAATGATGAAGAAGAATTGGATGAAGATATGGAGAATATAAAATGAAACAAACAAGATTTGGATTATTTTGCATATATCAAAGGATGCATAAGTTCAAAGAGGGTGGATGTCATGTAATAGTATGACTATATGATAAAGAACAAAAATATGGATATAATTATAGAAGAATCTTATTAAAAGATATAGTATAAAAGTAAGAATAATTAATAGAAAGATAATAATTTTTTTAGTCTTAATGCTACTTTTTGTAAAAAGAACTTTTATTTCCTTTGTAGGAGTATAAAAGCCTCAAATCAAAATAAATGAGATAAATAGATAATACATGCATCTGT